AATCTATAGGCTAGGCCTACTATATTTATTTCTCAACTTTCCTGATATTAAGCACATTGCTTATCTTTACAACAGGAGTATAGCCTACCTGGCTGGCATGAAAATGAACCACGGGAAAAGCGTCCTCCATTCGCTATTTAAGTGCATAGATGCCATGTATTTTTTCCCGCTGCCCCTGTTTCGAGACGGGTGCATGATAATGGTCCATTCTAAATCAAAACATATTTCACACAAATATTATTTAGTATACAGTACCAGTCAAAGGTTTGGACACACCTACTCATTCAAGGGTTTTCCTTTATTTTTTTTACTATTTTCTACATTGTAGAATAATAGTGACGACATTTAAAACTATGAAATAACACATATGGAATCATGTAATAACAAAAAAAGTGTTAAACAAATCAAAATATATTTTATATTTGAGATTCTTCGAAGTAGCCACACTTTGCCTTGATGACAGCTTTGCACACTCTTGGCGTTCTCTCAATCAGCTTCACCTGGAATGCTTTTCCAACAGTCTTGAAGGAGTGCCCACATATGCTGATCACATGTTGGCTGCTTTTCCTTCACTCTGCCGTCCGACTCATCCGAAACCATCTCAATTGGGTTGAGGTCAGGGGATTGTGGAGGCCAGGTCATCTGATGCAGCACTCATCACTCTCCTTCGTGGTAAAATAGCCCTTACACAGCCTGGAGGTGTGTTGGGTCATTGTCCTGTTGAAAAACCAATGATAGTCCCACTAAGCCCAAACCATATGGGATGGCGTATCGCTGCAGAATGCTGTGGTAGCCATGCTGGTTAAGTGTGCCTTGAATTCTAAATAAATCAGTGTCACCAGCAAAGCACCCCAGCACCATAACACCTCCTCCTCCATGCTTTACGGTGGGAACAACACATGCAGAGATCATCTGTTCACCCACACCACATCTCACAAAGACACGGCGGTTGGAACCAAAAATCTCAAATTTGGACTCCAGACCAAAGGACAAATTTCCACCTCTCTTTCTTAGCCCAAGCAGGTCTCTTCTTCTTATTGCCGTCCTTTAGTAGTGGTTTCTTTGCAGCAATTCGACCATGAAGGCCTGATTCACACAGTCCCCTCTGAATAGTTGATGTTGAGATGTGTCTGTTACTTGAACTCTGTGAAGCATTTATTTGGGCTGCAATTCCTGAGGCTGGTAGCTCTAATGAACTTATCCCCTGCAGCAGAGAACTCTTGGTCTTCCATTGCTGTGGCGGTCCACATGAGAGCTTGTTTCATCATAGCGCTTGATGGTTTTTGCGACTGCACTTTAAGTAGCAAGCCAATCGTCTCACAGCCCTAAAAAAAGTTGTTATTGAACATACAACTACTCTAAAGAAGCAACAAATGTAAAACATAATTTCAAACATTTGCCAAAATGCTATTCGTGGGAAAATGCCATTCTAAATAGCGCATCTGATGCAAGTGGTTCCATATGTGACAGAGCTGAAAATCTCAAACGTAGAAAGAGGGGGAATCTAAAGATGCAACAACTAGGATGGGTTGCTAATATGACTAGGATTGTGCCTTTTGCTTCTGGTCAACAAAATAAAGTTGATATGAAAACCAATAGAACAGGAGAGAAATGCTGTTTCAATGGCAAATGAGGAAGTCTTTATAAAATTGCCTCTACGTTTCTATGGTTTGATTTTGGCTAGGCTGGCTACTTAGAAGCAAGGTAATAATATGAAGTAAAACGCCCAGGTTTCAAACAATTGAAGTATGTTTTCAAAACGCATACTTCCTCCAGTTGCAAGGGGGTGGGTGACACGCTCATAGCCTTGCCTATTGTATTGCACATGCACTCGAATGGCGACTGGATGACTGGCTTCAATTCGGAGTTGAGAAAAGAAAATTGTAGCAATATTAATTGTGGCCTTCAAAACTATGTTTTTAACATGCGATTGCATTTAAAATTGTTGCGCAATTACTGTGCTTATAAGAACACGTTTTAACTCCAGCAGCATCCAGCTGTTCGAGAGCTGCATTGTCCGACAGGTGATATTATTTAGCTCATAGCCTACTGGGCACTGGTGGTTATGCTGTGCCTGTTTGATAAATAAATGTACACATGCATCAATTGCATTCCACTAAATTTAGCTAATTAACCTATAGTCCAATAAGCATGTATTTTCGGCCACTAACCGATCAACAGTTAACCATTAACATCCCTAATATAGACCCAAGATTGTTCTGCTTTGGGGGCAAAAGTTCTATTACTTTTTTCAGAGAGTGTAGTAGTTGAACCATGACCTACAGTTGAAGTCGGAAGTTTACATACACTTAGGTTGGAGTCATTAAAACTTGTTTTTCAACCACTCCACAAATTTCTTGTTAACAAACTGTAGTTTTGGCAAATCGGTTAGGACATCTACTTTGTGCACACAAGTAATTTTTCCAACAATTGTTTATAGACAGATTATTTCACTTATAATTCACTGTATCACAATTCCAGTGGGTCAGAAGTTTACATACACTAAGTTGACTGTGCCTATAAACAGCTTGGAAAATTCCAGAAAATGATGTCATGGCTTTAGAAGCTTCAAAAAGGCTAATTGACATAATTTGAGTCAATTGGATGTGTACCTGTGGATGTATTTCAAGGCCTACGTTCAAACTCAGTGCCTCTTTGCTTGACATCATGGGAAAATCTAAAATAAAATCTGCCAAGACCTCAGAAAAAAAATGGTAGACCTCCACAAGTCTGCTTCATCCTTGGGAGCAATTTCCAAATGCCTGAAGGTACCACGTTCATCTGTACAAACAATAGTATGAAAGTATAAACACCATGGGACCACGCAGCCGTCATACCGCTCAGGAAGGAGATGCGTTCTGTCTCCTAGAGATGAACGTACTTTGGTGCGAAAAGTGCAAATCAATCCCAGAACAACAGCAAAGGACCTTGTGAAGATGCTGGAGGAAACGGGTACAAAAGTATCTATAGCCACAGTAAAACGAGTCCTATATCGACATAACCTGAAAGGCCACTCAGCAAGGAAGAAGCCACTGCTCAAAAACCGCCATGGGGACAAAGATCATACTTTTTGGAGAAATGTCCTCTGGTCTGATGAAACATGGCCATAATGACCATCGTTATGTTTGGAGGATAAAAGGGGTCGCTTGCAAGCCGAAGAACACCATCCCAACCGTGAAGCACGGGGTGGCAGCATCATGCTGTGGGGGTGCTTTGCTGCAGGAGGGACTGGTGCACTTCACAAAATAGATGGCATCATGAGGAAGGAAAATTATGTGGATATATTGAAGCAACATCTCAAGACATCAGTCAGGAAGTTAAAGCTTGGTCGCAAATGGCTCTTCCAAATGGACAATGACCCCAAGCATACTTCCAAAGTTGTGGCAAAATGGCTTAAGGACAACAAAGTCAAGGTATTGGAGTGGCCATCACAAAGCCCTGACCTCAATCCTATAGAACATTTGTGGGCAGAACTGAAAAAGCGTGTGCGAGCAAGGAGGCCTAGAAACCTGACTCAGTTACACCAGCTCTGTCAGGAGGAATGGGCCAAAATTCACCCAACTTATTGTGGGAAGCTTGTGGAAGGCTACCCGAAATGTTTGACCCAAGTTAAACAATTTAAAGGCAATGCTACCAAATACTAATTGAGTGTATGTAAACTTCTGACCCACTGGGAATGTGATGAAAATAAATAAAAGCTGAAATAAATCATTATCTCTATTATTCTGACATTTCACGTTCTTAAAATAAAGTGGTGATCCTAACTGACCTAAGACAGGGAATTCTTACTAGGATTAAATGTCAGGAATTGTTGAAATGTATTTGGCTAAGGTGTATGTAAACTTCCGACTTCAACTGTATGTGTGGCTCAGTTTACTAGGATTAAATGCCATCCCCCCCCCAAAACTTTTTTTTACTACTAACTCTTCTGCCTTTCCTGTGATGGGATGAGGTTATAGTTGTGTATAGTAATGTCAGTGTTTGAGAAAGCTGGTGAGGACAATGTAAATAAAACCACTACTTTTTTGTACTTTATACAATCAATGGCTACTCTGCTACTGCTCTACGTTTTAGACTTATCTGGTTATGTTTAACACCCTCTTACTTTCTCCGTGATCTGTTTTCCTCTCACAGGGACAATTTTCCAGAGCTTGAGCACATGTATAACAATAACTGGAAAATATACTTGCATGCTATGATTTAGACTTTCATTATAACCTTGTTTATGATCTGTTTATTATGTTATGTACATATCTGATTAGAATTTATGAAGAATGGCAAACTTTTCATTGGTTTCTATATTTTCAACATCAGAAAACATTCCAAAATGTGTTATTCAAGAGTCTTTTAGGTCTATTTCGTAAAATGAATAAATAGACTTTGTGTTGATACTGAAGATTATACCATATGGTCTGTACTGTAGATAATCATGGCATTCTGCATTGAATAGACCGCAGACACAGTGTAGGCCAAGATGGTCCACCATGCAAACAGGCTGTTCTGGTCCTGCATCTTCTGGTGACCTATTGAAAACAGTACAACAATGATATAGCAAGTTAAGAGGCATGCTGTATGACTTTTTTGTTTTGATGACAAAACAAAGAATCCTACACTCTTGCCGAAGTTCATTGCTTTCAGAGTCCAACTCCAACTGACAGGTTGAATACCATGTGCCTTTGTTAGTTGAAGAGGTAAGGGGGTGGGCTTTAGACGATTCTATCAGTCAATCAGGCCTGACTATGTAAATATATTCAGATTTGTATCCCCACGCCCACACAGTCAGACTGAACATTTCAGTGGCCCAAGGAGGCTCAGGGAAATAAATTATGACAAATATATTTTGGTGTTATATTCAATAAATAAACAGTGATTGATTAGATATACAGAGATGATTTAAAAAGAACATTAAAAAGACTGCATGGGGGCTTTAATCTAACTTGTGTGTATTGTGTAATGACAGTGCTTGTCTTCAACAGGATGAGGAGTCTTCCAGCAGCAGTGATGGGGATGACGAAGACTGGGACTCAGACACTGCGGAAAGCGGCAGCGGTAGTGAAGACGAAGAGGGCAATAACGCCATTGCCAAAATCTTCCTCAAGAAGTCAGTCCCTTTCCCTGTCCTTTGTACATCGCACGTTAGGACGGAATTATTGTGGATTGAGTCTAGAGTCAATATCAGTGCCTCTGTAACCGAACATCGCTCTAAGTCTAAACATCCTGCCTCTGACTTTCATTCAGTATCTCTCACTCTGTATGTAAAACTATATTCTAAAGCAGTGGTCGGCAACAGACGGCCTGCGGGACAAATTTGGCCCCAAAGCGATTTTATTTGGCCTCCCGGTTTTGTTAGTTAGTTAATAAAAAAATATATAATCATGTTTAAAAATTGGCTGACGACTGAATATATTTGCCTACCCCCAGCTCTAGAGACTCTTGTCTCTGACATCAGATCAGTTTTACCCACTGACTGAAATGTATTCACAACACCTCATTCTGTCTTGCCAGGTCTGGTAGCGAGGTTGAGCGACACACCAGTGAGAAGAAAAAGGAGGACAGGAAGAAGAGACACAAGCGGAAGGAGCGCCTGGAGGAAGAGGCAGAGGAAGAGGCCCAAGAGGAGGGCGAAGGAGAATGGGAGAAGGTGAAGGGAGGAGTGCCCCTCGTTAAGGTGGGTAATCAAGTCATGGCATGACAATACATATCCTCACTCCACTTATCTGTATATATGGTTTGTGTTCATTAACCACCAAATGTAAGAAAACTGACAGAAATGGGGAGGGACCACCTGAACTTTACTAATTAGAAACACTCATTTTCGTTTTTAATTGCAAAATGTTTTAAAGCATTTTCTGTCTCGAGCCCAAATAAACACGACCCAATGGTCCTATATGGTCATAACACGTCTTAGAGTAGAAGTTCTGCCTTTTAGATTGTAATGACTAGACTGGGGGGACCTGATCCTAGCTCAGCACTGCTACTCTGAAACGCTTTATGAAAACTGACCCAAACCTTCCAGGGAATGTGGATAGTGTGCTAATTGCTTTTCCCGACAGGAGACATTTAAAGGTTAGGTAGCATAAACGTAACCACATGTAACATATGGATTGGCATTAGTATATGCATCAAAAGTCCCAATGCAAAGTTGCACCTCACTTTTAAATTTTTCGGATGATTACATAAAACCTATCAGAATGCCGAAGTCATGCCAGAAAATGTTTTTGTGGGTTGTGATGTAATATGGAGGACCCGGCAAGCCAGCCTTTTTCCTATAATGTAAACTCCAACAGAAATACTCACTCAATTACATTTTCAGCCAACTTACAAGAAAATACTCTATGAATTTATTGTTGCAAGCTAATTAGGCCAACCAGCCTGCTAACGTTAGGCCAACCAGCCTGCTAACGTTAGCCCTACCAGCCTGCTAACGTTAGCCCTACCAGCCTGCTAACGTTAGCCCTACCAGCCTGCTAACGTTATGTTAGAACTGCATGGGTCAGCCAGTTGCTATAAAAACCTAGCTTACAGCTACATTAAAGTAAGCCAAAGTTTTGGAAATGCATAACGCAATTTAACCAGTTATCAAATAATGTTACCGGTATATGCAGTTATCTTAGCCAGCAAGTCAGCCAGCTAAAGTGAGTTATTTTAGCCAGCTAACTAGCCTAGCTAGCCAACCACCACGGTCGACATAGCTAAATAGTAAGCCAGAGAACAACACCAACTAGTCTAGCACAGGCAGGAACCCATAGAACACACACAAAAAAAGCCAGCAGATATAAAGTACAGAGAGCGGAGACTGATAGACGGCTGAGTTGGCTACCAAAGAAGAGCCAAGGAGAGAGGCACTTCAAAGGGAGAGGCCGTTTCACCGGCGGAGGGAGAGTCAGCTAATCAATCCTATAGTGAGGTAAATCTAAAGTAGATAGATTCCAGAGGCAATAATCCAGAGGCGGCATTGGGCACAGGAGACAAAGGGAAGAGTCGGCAATAAAACGGTGATCCGATGAAGGCTCCAGGCAGATGGAAATGAACAGCACAGTCAGTCAGTTACTGTAGTGCGCTAGTACTAAGCTAAGGTTGAAAAACTCACAACAGGTCGAAGAGTTTACCAAGTAAATTGGAGGACAAAAAACAAACTAAGAACAGACAAGGTACTATACAATTAGAGCAGGCAAGAATGATTTTCCACTTTCCTTTTGCGCCAGAGGCAAGCCTGCCGGTGCAGGATAAGTCAGAGCTACATGGAGCAGGCGAGCAGGATCATGCGGCCCCCACGTGTGTGGAATCTGATTTGGTTCTTTACATCACACCACCTCGTGATTGGTGGAGTGTAGCTCACCACTGCCAGCACTCTGTCAGCATGGCTAGTGGCTAACGTTAGCCAGCTCGAGCTAGCTAACGCAGAGTAGATTCTCCATATGACGTTGAGAAATAGTTAATTGTGGTTATCCAGAAATAAGTGAATAAATATGTAAATAATAATAACATAACTATGTTTGTAGTTATAGCTAACCAGATCGTGACTTCAACTAAGTCTTTGACCACACTGTGTTGTTACTTTTAGTGAGTAAAAACTCATGCTTCCTACCCTTTAAGATGTTTGCCAAGGGAACAGAAATCAACACAACAGTTGTGGTAAAGAAACTCAACGAGATTCTGCAGGCCCGTGGAAAGAAGGGAACAGACAGGTACAACTCATTTGACTACGTTGACATAAATGCTCTGTCCCAAAATGTGCCCCTAGTCACTTCTTGATGGCGCTTTTGTAGATCTGAAAACCATGCCGATGTAAACAATATGGTATCGGTTCTACCTAAGGCTAGGCAAAGTTTTTGCCTTTCACAGACATAGCACTTTCATGTCTACAAGGGGACATCAGGTAGGGTTTTGGGGTTTCTTTTGTGACCAGACAAAAACTCCATTCAGTAAAAGCCCTAGCCAATATGACACCAAAGCCTGAAAAGACCCTAAACTAACTTAACCCTCCTCCGCCAACATCTCCAATGAGAACATTCTAGGTGAGGGCATCATGGTCAAGATCAAGTTCAACATCATTGCCTCCCTGTACGACTACAACCCTAACCTGGCTGCCTTCATGAAGGGCAGACTCACTGGCATTAAATGCCAAATTGTTAAATGCTTAATTGTTAAATTACTAAATGCCTAAATTGATAAATGCTAAAACTTTCCTGTTTTATTACCGCCCATCTGCCCACTCCACGGATGTGTGGCTATGCTAACGGGATAGACAGACTGTCCGTCGTTGTCTGAAGGGGTTGATCCTGAGTGGTCTTAATTCTGCCACCTCTATATGAAATGACGGCACATTTGAGAGAGAAAAACAGAATATTTAATGTGCAATTCTACAGTAATGGCAATTCCATCCATTTTAATGTCCCCCCCATATCAGTTGGGGAAAACATGGGGTAGGGGAATTTATTTAATGTAAAAACAAACTTATTGGACAAGTTCAAGTTGTACTTTGTCCGTTTTTAGAAATGTGTTCTCAGCATCAGAATCGCCTTGATTCTCCAAGTACATTCACCTGGTGAAATGGTGCTGACAACCATAATCTCCCGTTTTCGGCCCGGATTCTCCCTTATCCGGCCCTGAGTGTGACCCCAATTCCCACTAATATTCTCCTCATCCCTTTTACCTGTCCCGCCCCACCCCTCTCCCAGGCTGATATGTGGAAGAAGTGTCTGGACTGCATTGACGAGCTGCTGGACATCCTCTTTAACAACAACAACATCTTTATCGGCGAGAACATCGCTGAGGACAGCGAGAACCTGGCCATTGCTGACTCTCAGGTAATTATCTCACAGAAAACTCTTAGTGGTTGATTGAGTTTCTTACAGTGAGTGAATGATTGATTGGTTAATTTAATTTATTTGAACTACTCCAAACAAGAAGTTCCCTCACAGGAAAATAAAGTTCTACTATCATTTTTTAAAATATAAATACATATACAGTCAAGAACAAGCAGTATGTACATTAGAAAATCCTATCAAATACATTAGTCTTTTACTTATTGCCATTGTGGTCCTTTTGGCAAGAATAGACAGGCGTGGCAAGAATGGCAAGACACTTCATGTGATAGGCTACAGTTTGCAGTTTGCAGTAGATTGTCCAACTAAAGTCTGTTTCTCTATCTGTTCCTCAGCCATTCAGGGTGCGCGGCTGCATTCTGACCTTGGTGGAGAGGATGGACGAGGAGTTCACCAAGATCATGCAGAACACTGACCCCCACTCTCAAGGTGAGGCCCTCCCATAGTGTACTCGCCATTTTAGATCCACACCCTCATTTTCACATTATAGAAGTCACTTGTGCGTCTGTCAAAGACAAACTTAATTGATACTCAATCACTATAGACACATATGAAGTAAATGGATTAATAGAATAGACAGCAATATAATTCCTATGAAAACATGTACCATGTACATAACACACTATTGGGATTACTTTTTCACTCATTCGTTTGCATATTGATCCGATCTCTTTTTCACACTAACTTTACATTTCACATGATCATATTCAATCACTCACTCTCTCTCCCTCCCCCAAAGTACGTGGACAACCTGAAGGACGAGGGGCGTGTGTGCGGCATCATCGACCGCCTACTGGGCTACCTGGAGACCAAGGGCAGCACGGAGGAGGTGTGCCGCGTCTACCTACGCCGCATCATGCACACCTACTACAAGTTTGACTACAAGGCTCACCGTCGCGCCCTGGGCCTCCAGGGAGAGACCAAGGTAAGGAAACGGGCAGAGACCCCACAATAGACACAGAATTACTTCCGGGTTATGGGTACACTCAATATGGCAGCTGGTCCACCCATCATATAACTTGAATGGGAGTGTCTGTTTTAGTCATTATATTTCTATGGACCCCATGGCTGCTTCTCAATTGTCTGAAATGACTTTGTCTCCTCTTATTCGTTTCAAATTGGCCCCGTGTAGCTCAGTTGGTAGAGCATGGCGCTTGCAACGCCAGGGTTGTGGGTTCGATTCCCACAGGGGGCCAGTATGAAAAAAATTAAAACTAACTGTAAGTCGCTCTGGATAAGAGCATCTGCTAAATGACAAAAATGTAAATGTAAGCGACGTGGTGGATACTTACTAGGAACTCGTGCAAAACGTATGTGGATCCGAAATAATTATTATCCATGAGCTAATGCCATAACTAGAGGATGTGACTAAATGTTTAAATACAAAAAAAATAAAAATGTTTGAACAAAGATGAAAACAATAATAAAAGGTTGTGAATTCAGATATGGTCCTGCGTATGACCACTAGGGTGCAATGCCGTTCAATCTACCGCAGTCCTGGCTACCTACCAGACAGCGCTCACCTTACTGCTGTCCCGCACCCACTTAGCAACAATGGTATTTAATATCGTTATAGGTTCTCTGCTGTTCTCATTTGGCAGTACATGGGACTTCATGTCCCACTTCTCATCAATATTATGGCTCGTTGCAGTACTGTATGACAGCGTGTTCTTAGACGTCTAATAATCTGTTGTTAACGCAACGTATGGGGTTTGAGAGCTTTGTACTTGCAGTTTCATTGTTGTACAATTTCTCCATCTGGGCCGTCATGGTTTTTTAGACATGGCATCTTGTAGTCTAGTTCTAGATATGCCATTAGGGCAATGAAGCCGACATCCTCTACCATTTAAAATGGCTGTATATCAACTGCAATAATTTCTGGTATCAGCGCTGTGATTTTCTCACTCCGTCCCTTATCGCACCGCTGCCAGCAACAGTTTGGGTCTCACGATGCCTCCCTTTCAGCATTGCACCTGTACTGCCACTGTAGTTTCGGGGGGATGGAGTCAAGTGCAAGTGTTGTTCAGGATTTTTTATTTTCCTTGGCAAATAATTTGAAAGATGCATATCTCCTCTTACTAACATTACAACATTGTTGTGTTTAGGTATTTTGTATTTTTCCCTTTATGATGATGATCGGGACCTGTTAGTGGTAGTTTGGTGATAACTGCACTTTGATTTTAATTTTGTGGGGGGAAAACGATTTTAAATTCACACTTATACTCAATACAACACATTGAGTTTAACTCCACACTGTTCAGTGTATAATAGAATACTGCATAGAATGGCTGATTTGCTCATATTTGCAAATGCCTACCTGTGATTTGGTGGGAGGAAAGAATAAACATGCATAATGATCTGCATGTCATTGTGTCAGTAAGGGGAAAACATTGCATGAAACCTTCTTTACACTTCAGTTAACACAGACACACACTCTCCCTCCCTTCCTCACACTCTGTCTCCCTCACTCTCATAAAAACACACACCTCTCTCTCTCCCGCAAACACACATACACACACTGCTCCCATCTTTTAAAATGTTAGGCACCAAACAGAATTTAAGGAGCACCAGAAAGTAATAGATTTTTGATATAGTTTAGGCATACTAAACTCAGCAAAAAAAGAAACATCCTTTTTTCAGGACCCTGTTTTCAAAGATAATTTGTAAAAATCCAATTAACTTCACAGATCTTCATTGTAAAGGGTTTAAACACTGTTTCCTATGCTTGTTCAATGAACCATGAACAATTAATGAACATGCACCTGTGGAACGGTCGTTAAGACACTAACGGCTTACAGACGGTAGGCAATTAAGGTCACAGTTATGAAAACTTAGGACACTAAAGAGGCTTTTCTACCGACTCTGAAAAACACAAAAATAAAGATGCCCAGGGTCCCTGCTCATCTGTGCGAACGTGCCTTAGGCATGCTGCAAGGAGGCATGAGGACTGCAGATGTGGCCAGGGCAATAAATTGCAATGTCCGTACTGTGAGACGCCTAAGACAGCGCTACAGGGAGACAGGACAGACAGCTGATCATCCTCGCAGTGGCAGACTACATGTAACAACACCTGCACAGGATCGGTACATCCGAACATCACACCTGCAGGACAGGTACAACAACTGCCCGAGTTACAGTGGGGGAAAAAGTATTTAGTCAGCCACCAATTGTGCAAGTTCTCCCACTTAAAAAGATGAGAGAGGCATGTAATTTTCATCATAGGTACACGTCAACTATGACAGACAAAATGAGATTTTTTTTCTCCAGAAAATCACATTGTAGGATTTTTTATGAATTTATTTGCAAATTATGGTGGAAAATAAGTATTTGGTCAATAACAAAAGTTTCTCAATACTTTGTTATATACCCTTTGTTGGCAATGACACAGGTCAAACGTTTTCTGTAAGTCTTCAAGGTTTTCACACACTGTTGCTGGTATTTTGGCCCATTCCTCCATGCAGATCTCCTCTAGAGCAGTGATGTTTTGGGGCTGTCGCTGGGCAACACGGACTTTCAACTCCCTCCAAAGATTTTCTATGGGGTTGAGATCTGGAGACTGGCTAGGTCACTCCAGGACCTTGAAATGCTTCTTACGAAGCCACTCCTTCGTTGCCCGGGCGGTGTGTTTGGGATCATTGTCATGCTGAAAGACCCAGCCACGTTTCATCTTCAATGCCCTTGCTGATGGAAGGAGGTTTTCACTCAAAATCTCACGATACATGGCCCCATTCATTCTTTCCTTTACACGGATCAGTCGTCCTGGTCCCTTTGCAGAAAAACAGCCCCAAAGCATGATGTTTCCACCCCCATGCTTCACAGTAGGTATGGTGTTCTTTGGATGCAACTCAGCATTCTTTGTCCTCCAAACATGACGAGTTGAGTTTTTACCAAAAAGTTATATTTTGGTTTCATCTGACCATATGACATTCTCCCAATCCTCTTCTGGATCATCCAAATGCACTCTAGCAAACTTCAGACGGGCCTGGACATGTACTGGCTTAAGCAGGGGGACATGTCTTGCACTGCAGGATTTGAGTCCCTGGCGGCGTAGTGTGTTACTGATGGTAGGCTTTGTTACTTTGGTCCCAGCTCTCTGCAGGTCATTCACTAGGTCCCCCCGTGTGGTTCTGGGATTTCTGCTCACCGTTCTTGTGATCATTTTGACCCCACGGGGTGAGATCTTGCGTGGAGCCCCAGATCGAGGGAGATTATCAGTGGTCTTGTATGTCTTCCATTTCCTAATAATTGCTCCCACAGTTGATTTCTTCAAACCAAGCTGCTTACCTATTGCAGATTCAGTCTTCCCAGCCTGGTGCAGGTCTACAATTTTGTTTCTGGTGTCCTTTGACAGCTCTTTGGTCTTGGCCATATTGGAGTTTGGAGTGTGACTGTTTGAGGTTGTGGACAGGTGTCTTTTATACTGATAACAAGTTCAAACAGGTGCCATTAATACAGGTAACGAGTGGAGGACAGAGGAGCCTCTTAAAAAAGAAGTTACAGGTCTGTGAGAGCCAGAAATCTTGCTTGTTTGTAGGTGACCAAATACTTATTTTCCACCATAATTTGCAAATAAATTCATTAAAAATCCTACAATGTGATTTTCTGAAATTTGTTCCTCAATTTGTCTGTCATAGTTGACGTGTACCTATGATGAAAATTACAGGCCTCTCTCATCTTTTTAAGTGGGAGAACTTGCACAATTGGTGGCTGACTGGATCATCCAAATGCACTCTAGCAAACTTCAGACGGGCCTGGACATGTACTGGCTTAAGCAGGGGGACATGTCTTGCACTGCAGGATTCCTCCTCAGGAGACTAAAAAGATTTGGCATGGGTCCTCAGATCCTCAAAAAATTCTACAGCTGCACCATCGAGAGCATCCTGACTGGTTGCATCACCGCCTGGTATGGCAACTGCTTGGCCTCTGACCGCAAGGCACTACAGAGGGTAGTGCGTACGGCCCAGTACATCACTGGGGCAAAGCTTCCTGCCATCCAGGACCTCTATACCAGGCAGTGTCAGAGGAAGGCCCTCAAAATTGTCAAAGACTCCAGCCACCCTAGTCATAGACTGTTCTCTCTGCTATCGCACGGCAAGCGGTACCGGAGTGCCAAGTCTAGGTCCAAAAGACTTCTCAACAGCTTCTACCCCCAAGCCATAAGACTCCTGAACAGCTAATCATGGCTACCCGGACTATTTGCACTGCCCCCCCACCCCATCCTTTTTACGCTGCTGCTACTCTGTTAAGTATTTATGCATAGTCACTTTAACTCTACCCACATGTACATATTACCTCAACTACCTCAACTAGCCGGTGCCCCCGCACATTGACTCTGCAACGGTACCCCCCTGTATATATAGCCTCCCTACTGTCACTTTATTTTACTTCTGCTCTTTTTTTCTCAACACTTTTTTTGTTGTTGTTTTATTCTTAGTTTTTTTGTTGAAAATAAATGCACTGTTGGTTAAGGGCTGTAAGTAAGCATTTCACTGTAATGTCTGCACCTGTTGTATTCGGCGCATGTGACCAATACAATTTGATTTGATTTGATTTGACTAAATACTTTTTTCCCCAACTGTATACCAGGAACGCACAATCTCTCAATCAGTGCTCAGACTGTCCGCAATAGGCTGAGAGAGGCTGGACTGAGGGTTTGTAGGCCTGTTGTAAGGCAGGTCCTCACCAGACATCACCGGCAACAACGTCGCCTATGGGCACAAACCTACCGTCGCTGGACCAGACAGGACTGGCAAAAAGTGCTCTTCACTGACGAGTCGCGGTTTTGTCTCACCAGGGGTGATGGTCGGATTTGCGTTTATTGTCGAAGCAATGAGCGTTACACCGAGGCCTGTACTCTGGAGCGGGATCGATTTGGAGGTGGAGGGTCTGTCATGGTCTGGGGCGGTGTCACAGCATCATCGGACTGAGCTTGTTGTCATTGCAGGTAATCTCAACGCTGTGCGTTACAGGGAAGACATCCTCTTCCCTCATGTGGTACCCTTCCTGCAGGCTCATCCTGACATGACCCTCCAGCATGACAATGCCACCAACCATACTACTTGTTCTGTGCGTAATTTCCTGCAAGACAGGAATGTCAGTGTTCTGCCATGGCCAGCGAAGAGCCCGGATCTCAATCCCATTGAGCACGTCTGGGACCTGTTGGATCGGAGGGTGAGGGCTAGGGCCATTCCCCCCAGAAATGTCCGGGAACTTGCAGGTGCCTTGGTGGAAGAGTGGGGTAAAATCTCACAGCAAGAACTGGCAAATCTGGTGGAGTATATTAGGAGGAAGAGATTCACTGCAGTACTTCATGTAGCTGGTGGCCACACCAGATACTGACTGTTACTTTTGATTTTGATCCCCCCCCCCCCTTTGTTCAGGGACACATTATTCAATTTCTGTTAGTCACATGTCTGTGGAACTTGTTCAGTTTATGTCTCAGTTGTTGAATCTTATGTTCATACAAATATTTACACATGTTAAGTTTGCTGAAAATAAACGCAGTTGACAGTGAGAGGACGTTTATTTTTTTGCTGAATTTATTAGGCCTATATGAATCCTACCTTTTGAAGCACATCTCATGAGTAGCAGACCCTTTTCCTTTTTTCCCTGTGCCAATCAAATGTGCCTAAACCTACTGTCATGTTACCTGGTTGTTAGCTAGCTAGGTACCATGACAGAACAATGTTGTTTATTAAACCAAAGGTTAGCGACCCGCGATTTGTTTAAAACGGCCTTCACCATGGTTTGTGAAATTATATAAAATGTGCGCGAATCCCAATAGAAAGGGAAAAAGGCATCCTCGGTAATATGGGTCATATTTGTTTTTACTGTTTGGGCTAGAGACAAGCCGTTTACTTTGCTGTAAAGCTGCAAGCATGCCTGTCGCGAAGCGGTGCTCCATTTTCCCTCTGACACTGAGGCTGCATGACAGTGAACTTGCAAAGTCTACTCAGACTCTGTGCTCTTGGTTATAACAGGCAATGAAATTATACAATGTACAACATTGCTCGCTTTGCGCGCTGCTCGACTGTAACAAATGTACAAATCTAATAACAGAAGACTCATCAGGGTCTGGGTCTGCATCCCTGTTCACCATCCTTGCTAAATTATATATATATTCTAACTGACGGGGGAATAGACACGGAGGAAGAGCGGATGGAGAGAAGCAGGTGAGGGCTGGTAGGGGATGCTGATAGCTGATTACAGCTGCCACATGTGACATGCGCATGAACCTGAAGTGGATATAATTGGACTTGTGCATACAAGAGACTACTAGCTGTTGCTTAAATTCAACTGAATTTATAAACAAAACTGACTTTATAAACATTTTATAACAGGCAGGCGCCAGCAGGTTCTTTAGATCGGTAGGGCTGAAAAGGTCGGTAGCATCATATGAAACGATACTACGGTATTCTAAAAGGTTATCATAAGTTTCATGACATTTTGGTACCGTGAGGATAACGTGGTACCGGTATACCGTGCAACACTATACACACCTACCATTGAATTGGCACTGTCCCTCTCCCCCTTCTCTCTTTGTCTTTCTACTTCCTCCCTAGTCTGAGCAGGATGCAGAGGAGAGTGAGGGTGAGGACAGTGCCTTCATCATGGACCGCCTGTGCAAGTTCATCTACGCTAAGGACCGTACGGACCGCATCCGCACATGTGCCATCCTGTGCCACATCTACCACCACGCGCTGCACTCGCGCTGGTATCAAGCCCGTGACCTAATGCTCATGAGCCACCTGCAGGATAATATTCAGCACGCCGACCCGCCTGTACAGGTATGAACATGTGAGTGTGGACACACACACACACACACACACAACAGGGCAGCATCCAGTATGCCAAGCTGTTCATACATGCAGGGGCACACACACCTGCAGGGCAACATCCGGCACACTACAGGGCTCCAGACTAACTGGTGCCACTAAAACACACAATTACCCTTGGACAAAGGAACTTAATGATATAATTAAGGAAGCTGATCTACTTCACATATTTAGAAACAAGTTACGATGCAATGTCAACTTGATCAAACACAAGTTAACCCTTAGCTACAAAGAAAAATGGTCAACTGATATATGGCTAAAACCAAAGCTCAGAACTTATAACCAGATCAAAACACCTATGATCCAGAACCCTATGTCACCTTTCGCTTAACAGGAAATAAAAGATCCTTGTGTGCCCAGTTGAGAACCGGGATACTGCCTCTGGAAATTGAAGTAGGTAGCTTCAATGCCATAAATGAAGAAGATTTGCTATGTACAGTCTGCAATTTAGGGGAGATGGAGAAATTATACTGTACTTTATATGATGATTTGACTGACCTTGTTTGAAGAAAATGCAACAACAGATTTCACATGACTGGGCAGTAGTGCAGCCGTGGGTGGGCCTGGAAGAGCATAGGCCCACCAACTGGGGAGCCAGGCCCAGCCAATCAGAATGAGTCTTTCCCCACAAAAGGGCTTTGTTACATGGTGCACTTGTATAATGATCATGCTGTTTAATCAGCTTCTTGATATGCCACACCTGTCAGGTGGATGGATTATCTTGGCAAAGGAGAAATGCTCACTAACAGGAATATAAACAAATTTGTTCATAACAATTTAGAGAAATAAGCTTTTTGTGCGTGTGGAAAATGTCTGGGATTTTTTTATTTCAGCTCATGAAACATGGGACCAACACTTTACATGTTGTGTTTATATTTTTGTTTGGTGTATTTCCAAAGCTTGGAAGACGCGACAACATAAGTTGTATAACTAAAAGATTTTTGTTTTGTTTCAATTGTTTTCATTTCTGTAGAATTGCAAATGTGTGCATGTATGTACACTGACTGTACAAAACATTAGGAACACCTGCTCTTTCCATGACATATACTGCCCAGGTAAATCCAGGTTAAATCTATTACCCCTTATTGATGTCACCTGTTAAATCCACTTCAATCAGTGTAGATGAAGGGAAGGAGACACATTTAAAGAAGGATTTTTAAGCCTTGAGACAATTGAGACATGGATTGCCTGTGTGCCTCATTGAGGGTGAATGGGCAAGCCAACTTGACACAACTGTGGGAAGCATTGGAGTCAACATGGGGCAGCAGCCTGTGGAACGCTTTCGACACCTTGTAGAGTCCATGCCCAGACTAATTGAGGCTGTTTTGATGGCAAAAAAGGGGGTGCAACTCAATATTATGGAGGTGTTCCTAATGTTTTGTATAGAGAACAACCGATATTGGCCTTTTCTAGGCTTTCTGCCCTTTTCTATCGGCTTTGCCGATATTCCCTCTACATAGCAAAGCTGCTGCTATGCCAGCCGCCACTCACTGCCTGAGCTACGAGCACTGCACTATGCCGAGAAATGTCTAGCAGAGAAAATAATCAGCAGCAAGCTAGCTCATTCTTCAACAGAAAGGGGCAGTATTGAGAAAAGTATTAATTGACGTAGTGACCAAAATCGAACTCCTGTTGCAAATACTAACCTTTTTCAGGACCCTGTCTTTCAAAGATAATTCGTAAAAATCCAAATAACGTCACAGATCTTAATTGTAAAGGGTTTAAACACTGTTTCCCATGCTTGTTCAATGAACCATAAACAATTAAGGAACATGCACCTGTGGAACGGTCGTTAAGACACTAACGGCTTACAGACGGTTGGCAATTAAGGTCACAGTTATGAAAACTTAGGACAATAAAGAGGCCTTTCTACTGACTCTGATAAACACCAAAAGAAAGATGCCCAGGGTCCCTGCTCATCTGCGTGAACGTGCCTTAGGCATGCAACGACGTCGCCTATGGGCACAAACCCACCGTCGCTGGATCAGACAGGACTGGCAAAAAGTGCTCTTCACTGACGAGTCGCGGTTTTGTCTAACCAGGGGTGATGGTCGGATTTGCGTTTATCGTCTCATGGTCTGGGGCGGTGTGTCACAGCATCATCAGACTGAGCTTGTTGTCATTGCAGGTAATCTCAACGCTGTGCGTTACAGGGAAGACATCCTCTTCCCTCATGTGGTACCCTTCCTGCAGGCTCATCCTGACATGGCCCTCCAGCATGACAATGCTACCAGTCATACTGCTCGTTCTGTGTGTGATTTCCTGCAAGACAGGAATGTCAGTGTTCTGCAATGGCCAGCGAAGAGCCCAGATCTCAATCCCATTGAGCACGTCTGGGACCTGTTGGATCGGAGGGTGAGGGCTAGGGCCATTCCCCCCAGAAATGTCCGGGAACTTGCAGGTGCCTTGGTGGAAGAGTGGGGTAAAATCTCACAGCAAGAACTGGCAAATCTGGTGGAGTACATTAGGAGGAGGAGATTCACTGCAGTACTTAATGTAGCTGGTGGCCACACCAGATACTGACTGTTACTTTTGATTTTGACCCCCCCTTTGTTCAGGGACACATTATTCCATTTCTGTTAGTCACATGTCTGTGGAACTTGTTCAGTTTATGTCTCAGTTGTTGAATCTTATGTTCATACAAATATTTACACATGTTAAGTTTGCTGAAAATAAACGCAGTTGACAGTGAGAGGACGTTTATTTTTTTGCTGAATTTATTAGGCCTATATGAATCCTACCTTTTGAAGCACATCTCATGAGTAGCAGACCCTTTTCCTTTTTTCCCTGTGCCAATCAAATGTGCCTAAACCTACTGTCATGTTACCTGGTTGTTAGCTAGCTAGGTACCATGACAGAACAATGTTGTTTATTAAACCAAAGGTTAGCGACCCGCGATTTGTTTAAAACGGCCTTCACCATGGTTTGTGAAATTATATAAAATGTGCGCGAATCCCAATAGAAAGGGAAAAAGGCATCCTCGGTAATATGGGTCATATTTGTTTTTACTGTTTGGGCTAGAGACAAGCCGTTTACTTTGCTGTAAAGCTGCAAGCATGCCTGTCGCGAAGCGGTGCTCCATTTTCCCTCTGACACTGAGGCTGCATGACAGTGAACTTGCAAAGTCTACTCAGACTCTGTGCTCTTGGTTATAACAGGCAATGAAATTATACAATGTACAACATTGCTCGCTTTGCGCGCTGCTCGACTGTAACAAATGTACAAATCTAATAACAGAAGACTCATCAGGGTCTGGGTCTGCATCCCTGTTCACCATCCTTGCTAAATTATATATATATTCTAACTGACGGGGGAATAGACACGGAGGAAGAGCGGATGGAGAGAAGCAGGTGAGGGCTGGTAGGGGATGCTGATAGCTGATTACAGCTGCCACATGTGACATGCGCATGAACCTGAAGTGGATATAATTGGACTTGTGCATACAAGAGACTACTAGCTGTTGCTTAAATTCAACTGAATTTATAAACAAAACTGACTTTATAAACATTTTATAACAGGCAGGCGCCAGCAGGTTCTTTAGATCGGTAGGGCTGAAAAGGTCGGTAGCATCATATGAAACGATACTACGGTATTCTAAAAGGTTATCATAAGTTTCATGACATTTTGGTACCGTGATGATAACGTGGTACCGGTATACCGTGCAACACTATACACACCTACCATTGAATTGGCACTGTCCCTCTCCCCCTTCTCTCTTTGTCTTTCTACTTCCTCCCTAGTCTGAGCAGGATGCAGAGGAGAGTGAGGGTGAGGACAGTGCCTTCATCATGGACCGCCTGTGCAAGTTCATCTACGCTAAGGACCGTACGGACCGCATCCGCACATGTGCCATCCTGTGCCACATCTACCACCACGCGCTGCACTCGCGCTGGTATCAAGCCCGTGACCTAATGCTCATGAGCCACCTGCAGGATAATATTCAGCACGCCGACCCGCCTGTACAGGTATGAACATGTGAGTGAGGACACACACACACACACACACACACAACAGGGCAGCATCCAGTATGCCAAGCTGTTCATACATGCAGGGGCACACACACCTGCAGGGCAACATCCGGCACACTACAGGGCTCCAGACTAACTGGTGCCACTAAAACACACAATTACCCTTGGACAAAGGAACTCAATGATATAATTAAGGAAGCTGATCTACTTCACATATTTAGAAACAAGTTACGATGCAATGTCAACTTGATCAAACACAAGTTAACCCTTAGCTACAAAGAAAAATGGTCAACTGATATATGGCTAAAACCAAAGCTCAGAACTTATAACCAGATCAAAACACCTATGATCCAGAACCCTATGTAACCTTTCGCTTAACAGGAAATAAAAGATCCTTGTGTGCCCAGTTGAGAACCGGGATACTGCCTCTGGAAATTGAAGTAGGTAGCTTCAATGCCATAAATGAAGAAGATTTGCTATGTACAGTCTGCAATTTAGGGGAGATGGAGAAATTATTCTGTACTTTATATGATGATTTGACTGACCTTGTTTGAAGAAAATGCAACAACAGATTTCACATGACTGGGCAGTAGTGCAGCCGTGGGTGGGCCTGGAAGGGCATAGGCCCACCCACTGGGGAGCCAGGCCCAGCCAATCAGAATGAGTCTTTCCCCACAAAAGGGCTTTGTTACATGGTGCACTTGTATAATGATCATGCTGTTTAATCAGCTTCTTGATATGCCACACCTGTCAGGTGGATGGATTATCTTGGCAAAGGAGAAATGCTCACTAACAGGAATATAAACAAATTTGTTCATAACAATTTAGAGAAATAAGCTTTTTGTGCGTGTGGAAAATGTCTGGGATTTTTTTATTTCAGCTCATGAAACATGGGACCAACACTTTACATGTTGTGTTTATATTTTTGTTTGGTGTATTTCCAAAGCTTGGAAGACGCGACAACATAAGTTGTATAACTAAAAGATTTTTGTTTTGTTTCAATTGTTTTCATTTCTGTAGAATTGCAAATGTGTGCATGTATGTACACTGACTGTACAAAACATTAGGAACACCTGCTCTTTCCATGACATATACTGCCCAGGTAAATCCAGGTTAAATCTATTACCCCTTATTGATGTCACCTGTTAAATCCACTTCAATCAGTGTAGATGAAGGGAAGGAGACACATTTAAAGAAGGATTTTTAAGCCTTGAGACAATTGAGACATGGATTGCCTGTGTGCCTCATTGAGGGTGAATGGGCAAGCCAACTTGACACAACTGTGGGAAGCATTGGAGTCAACATGGGGCAGCAGCCTGTGGAACGCTTTCGACACCTTGTAGAGTCCATGCCCAGACTAATTGAGGCTGTTTTGATGGCAAAAAAGGGGGTGCAACTCAATATTATGGAGGTGTTCCTAATGTTTTGTATAGAGAACAACCGATATTGGCCTTTTCTAGGCTTTCTGCCCTTTTCTATCGGCTTTGCCGATATTCCCTCTACATAGCAAAGCTGCTGCTATGCCAGCCGCCACTCACTGCCTGAGCTACGAGCACTGCACTATGCCGAGAAATGTCTAGCAGAGAAAATAATCAGCAGCAAGCTAGCTCATTCTTCAACAGAAAGGGGCAGTATTGAGAAAAGTATTAATTGACGTAGTGACCAAAATCGAACTCCTGTTGCAAATACTAACCTTTTTCAGGACCCTGTCTTTCAAAGATAATTCGTAAAAATCCAAATAACGTCACAGATCTTAATTGTAAAGGGTTTAAACACTGTTTCCCATGCTTGTTCAATGAACCATAAACAATTAAGGAACATGCACCTGTGGAACGGTCGTTAAGACACTAACGGCTTACAGACGGTTGGCAATTAAGGTCACAGTTATGAAAACTTAGGACAATAAAGAGGCCTTTCTACTGACTCTGATAAACACCAAAAGAAAGATGCCCAGGGTCCCTGCTCATCTGCGTGAACGTGCCTTAGGCATGCAACGACGTCGCCTATGGGCACAAACCCACCGTCGCTGGATCAGACAGGACTGGCAAAAAGTGCTCTTCACTGACGAGTCGCGGTTTTGTCTAACCAGGGGTGATGGTCGGATTTGCGTTTATCGTCTCATGGTCTGGGGCGGTGTGTCACAGCATCATCAGACTGAGCTTGTTGTCATTGCAGGTAATCTCAACGCTGTGCGTTACAGGGAAGACATCCTCTTCCCTCATGTGGTACCCTTCCTGCAGGCTCATCCTGACATGGCCCTCCAGCATGACAATGCTACCAGTCATACTGCTCGTTCTGTGTGTGATTTCCTGCAAGACAGGAATGTCAGTGTTCTGCAATGGCCAGCGAAGAGCCCAGATCTCAATCCCATTGAGCACGTCTGGGACCTGTTGGATCGGAGGGTGAGGGCTAGGGCCATTCCCCCCAGAAATGTCCGGGAACTTGCAGGTGCCTTGGTTGAAGAGTGGGGTAAAATCTCACAGCAAGAACTGGCAAATCTGGTGGAGTACATTAGGAGGAGGAGATTCACTGCAGTACTTAATGTAGCTGGTGGCCACACCAGATACTGACTGTTACTTTTGATTTTGACACCCCCTTTGTTCAGGGACACATTATTCAATTTCTGTTAGTCACATGTCTGTGGAACTTGTTCAGTTTATGTCTCAGTTGTTGAATCTTGTTATGTTCATACAAATATTTACACATGTTATGTTTGCTGAAAATAAACGCAGTTGACAGTGAGAGGACGTTTCTTTTTTTGCTGAGTTTAGTTTATTCACTAATAATAAGGCTTGTCGATGTGCCCGGACATGCATGCAATAAGCAAGATAGCTTAGCAGATAGCTATGTGACCAGTTAGCAAAGATTACGATAACTAACCCTTTCATCTGTGGTGTTGGCTAGCTAGCTATATTAGCTGCTATGCTAGCTAGCTGGCTAGATAAACACAGTGCTGAATTATCAAATAGGAGCTAATAGCCAACATAGCTAGCTAATGTTAGCTGGTTATCATTTTGAACATGCACAATTTTCAGCAACGAGCCATCTGATTTGTGGTCTAACGTTAGCTATTTACTGGTGTGCTGATCTGACCAGCCGCAATTGTATCCATAAATTGACAGTTGATTAGATAATTGTCGTATTAGGGAAGGAAGTGTTTTTTTTTTTTTTTTCAATTTGCATTGAATAGATGTTTTATATTCTCAAACTAACGGTAGTGCCTATATGATGTCCTTCCATACAGGTGTGAAATGCTGGAGTGATGCTTCTATGCAAATGTTGTTTATCAGTAGGCTAATATAAGTCCCAAATGGAAGGCAAACAGGTTGTTTGTCATCTGTAGCACCATAGACTCAACAGATCAGCCAAAATAAGCTCAATAACGTAATGCATGCACACATCCTATTGAATATGCTTTCACCTGTACTGTGAGTAGGACTATGCCATCTTCATTGACGCAGTTTATCAACAGATTTACCATTCAAATAAAATTATCATTACGTAGTTAGATTGGTAAAAACAAAGTCAAATGTATTGTTTGATTAAAAATGTATGCATTAATGCATACATGGCTGTCTCTGGGAAGTTTTGTCATAAAAAGATTCAAATGTAATGATATTGAATATCGGCGTAAAATATCGGCCATCGACCTTGACCCCCACAAATCTGCATCGGCCCTAGAAAATTCATATTGGTCGTTCTCTAGTTTTGTACACTGTGTATTTAAAGGGCTCGACATTAAGGCTTGTCCGCTTATCCGGGGCAAGTTTTTAAATTTAAAAAATGCCGGACAACCAGAATATAGATTTCAGTTGTCCGAATGGACAAGTAAAAAATCTGTATCAAACAATTAATTTGATCAGAATTGGATCAGGCAGCGCACAGCAGGGCAGTGCATGGTTGACGTTCTGATTAATTGCCTATTTTCCTATTTGCTATAGCCTATTTCAATAAATATGTTATTTACACAAAGCAAGAGAACAATGTAGACAGAGCTAGTCTCACCAAAGCACCGCAAAATGTCAAATGTTTTCTGTATTTTTTTTTATCTAGGCCAATAGCGGACACTCTGGTGTGTTGTTATAGAAACCCACATTTTCTATTTTCTCTACATTTGATATGAAGATGACTTGGCCTATTATGACTTGGCCTTTTCCTGGTTGCAAAAATTGTAATGGTTCGCCAAATTTCAGTTTATGTGACAAAACAAGCAAGTATAGTGTTGAGAATCATTCTACCACCGCTGTGAAATATATTTTCCATAACCAAAAATATTGTATTTACAGCTGTTTTGAAGCTTGTGTAAAAAACCGAATGTACAGTGCATTCGGAAAGTATTCAGACCCCTTTACTTTTTCCACATTTTGTTACGTTACAGCCTTATTATAAAATGGGTTGAGTTGTTTTTTCCCCTCATTAATCTACACACAATACCCCATAATGACCAAGCAAAAACAGATTTCTTGATTTTTTTGCAAATGTATTAAAAATAAAAAACTGATATCAAATCAAACTTTATTTGTCACATGCACTGAATACAACAGGTGTAGACCTTACAATGAAATGCTTACTTACAAGCCCTTAACCAACAATGCAGTTTTAAGAAAGAAAGAACCTAAAAAAAATGAATAATAATAATTAAAGAGCAGCAGTACAATAACCATAGCGAGGCTATATACAGGGGGTACCGGTACCGAGTAAATGTGCGGGGGCACCGGTTAGTCGAGGTAATTGAGGTAATATGTACATGTAAGTCGAGTTATTAAAGTGACTATGCATAGATAATTAACAGAGAGTAGCAGCAGCGTAAAGGTGGGGTGGGGGGGCAATGTAAATAGTCTGGGTAGCCATTTGATTAGATGTTCGGGAGTCTTATGGCTTGGGGGTAGAAGCTGTTTAGAAGCCTCTTGGACATAGACTTGGCGCTCCGGTACCGCTTGCCGTGCAGTAGCAGAGAGAACAGTCTATGACTAGGGTGGCTGGAGTTTGACAAT